GTGCATCTCAATGGAAAAGCAAGAATAAATCTTCAATGAATAATGTTCATTCATGTGAAAAGCGAACTATTGAAAGGAATTTAATAACACCGTCATTGAAACGCGAGCAAGGAAAAGACGTAACCTCGCAAATGAGGAAATGAAGATAATAAACGTGCGAAAACTATTTTCTAATGCGCGCGCGTTCTCGTCGAATTCGAAGTGGAGATTTTACGAGCCCTTAAAATAAGAGACGCTCACTTCGACCTTCTACTTCTTTCACTTTGCATTTTCGCGAAATAATGGTATCGCTACAGCGATATATTTGGGATAATTCTCTGTTAATCCTGCAGCGGCTTATCGTCTTCTGTATTGCACGCGAAACCTTATTAGCGCTAATTGATAATCGCGTTGCGAGAATAATCATTTTTATCGCGTATACATGAACAGAGAAAACACAATTAGAGAGAAATTTAATCATCCACGCGTCATATCTATCCGTTTTTAAAGCGGCAGGGGATCGGAGAAATCTCTTCGTAATTCATTTCGCAAAGCGCCCAGCGCAATCGATGAATAACTCTTAATTCTACGTGAATACTCGATACGCTCGAGTTTTGCAGAATGGAGAAGCATCTTTTATATACTGTTTTCATCTACTTATGCCAATGTTTAACGTACTTCCATTAGAGCTGTTATAACGTTTTCACCCTTTGCAACTGCTGTTTGCCGCGATACGTTTCTTTCTATTTATTTTCTATTTTCATTGTCTACACACAATCTTGATAAACCTTAATCTAAAAAAATTATTTGATTTTAAAAAATGTTTAAATAAAAAAAATAACATTTAAATAAAACAAATTTTTTTCTTTAACCAGTAAAGAAATATTTTTTCGAATCGAAGAAACCTTTCTCTGGATGATCGCACGTAATATGTATATTTAATTAATCATTTTGATGCACATTGTACTAATTTAATACGTCATTCTCTAAATACAATACATTGCTCAAATGAAGACGATTTAATGAAAAGTTACTAATTAATATGCGTACATATCGAGTATTCGAGATAAAAGGGATCTGTTTCTCGTTAGCTGCTTTTGTAACACACGATCCTTAGTCTATAAACTTACCTATATCATTATTAAATAAAGTTCGATCAAAAGACCGTATTCTACTTTTTTCAATAATTACGGTGCGTCTCGTTCGTAACAGCACATCGTAATAACCCGGTTTCCCTCGCGTCCTGGGAATCCGACAGACTCCCCAGCACGGGTTCCACGCTGAAAAGCCGACGTTGCTGCGGCACTCGAGTTAATAGAAAACCGCACAACTCTATGCGGCTGTCGCCATGTATTTACGTGCGTACGAAACGTGCGAGTTCCGATGCAAGGCCCACCGTGTGTCACGCGTGCCACGTACCATGGAAGAGAGCAACCACGATGAATGCTCATCGAGCGGGGAAATAATAACACGAGCAATTTCTTTCTCATTCAGATATGCGCGACAATTAAACGCCAACGTCGTTCGAGTCTCTTATGAGGCGGCATTTCTCCGTTTCGCGAAATGAGAATAAATAAAAAGCGACGAATGAATTTCGTATATTCCGGCGGACAATAATTCGCGTGGGGCGGTGCGACGCGATTATTACGTACGTTTATATGACAGTCACAAATGCGCGGGGAAACGTAATATATTCCGTGTGGACGGTCGGAAAAATATTGTAGGCTGAGACAAATTGTGAAGTTAATGTCATAATTAAGAGATTGAAATTGTAATGATTTAACGACTGATTCGCAAATTTTATAAAAGGTGAACTTCATTAACTACGTAGCACAAATTGCACGGTACGAATTATAAATGAAACAGTGTTTTCATAGTATACAGACGCATCTAATTGGCAAAAGAACATGTAATTAATAGCAACGAGTTCGTTTCTGAGGAGTTCCGTGCTGCTTTAAATTCAAGCAGTTGCGAATCCGCGCGCAGAATTTTCGAGCTTGAAGTTGAAACGGGGCTAACAATGGCTTTCATTAAAGCGTCCAAGTCGCGACTTCGTTGCTGGAACTCTCGTTGGCCGTTAATAAAATAACGTCGGATCACTATTCATTCGCCACGGGATGAAGTCAAAAAATTAACCACTGATCCAAATTCACTCACGTATATCATGTGCACGGGGCTATAGAGTTTACAAAGTTCGAGCGAGAACGGCCGACCGTGGGCTTACGCAACTTTTGCACCTATATACAAACTTTATTAGCTCTCGAAAATCGATACAGGCAGAAAGGCAAGTTTGCGAGTGCCATCCGGTGGTCTGATCCCAGGACGACAATCTGTCTCGTAGGAAGACGCCAATGACTCACGAATACGTCGTCGATGGCGCCGGTTGCTATTCTATCCTACCTATAGATCTTGTTCTCTGTAGGTGAATCCATTCCCAAAACTTGAAATAAATATGATGCCATCGATCTCTATTTCAGTACAGTGCCATCTATTTACACGTCTTGCACGTAATTGTTTGAAATACAGCAATGTGCAAATGGAGCAAACAAAGAGTAATAGTGTAACATAGGGAAAGAGAGTAATATAAATTAATTTTGTAAATAAAAATACGTAATAATTTATTAGAATTCTGTATTACGACCGTCAATTGATATCAATCAAAATTAACAAGAATAAGGAAACCGTAATAATTTACGATTTACTAAGCCATCTACGGTCAAAGCTAGATTACCATGCTTATTATAATGTGTGAATTTATATACCGCGTATGTAGTCACCAATCACGTGCCGAAAATTTTTTCAGACTTACAACGCAACACTTAAACAACTACCGCAGTAATATCACTTTTTTAGTTAAATTGCTACCGCATATCTAACAATTATTTGATGCTTCTATATAGCATCTTATTAGATCTTTAATAATATGTTGGAAGACATATATTAAAATTTAACAATTTAAATGTTAAAGTAATGATGAATCTAAAATCTGTGAAAAGTATGATTG